GAGCGGAGCGGGCGAGCTCCAGCTCCGGTGGTGACCACGAGGAGGTTCTCGGTGGAGAGAGCAGGTTGGGTCCGGTTCTAGGTGTGCCTTGGTGGCAACCATGAGCAGACTCGGAGGAGAGAGCGGGCGAGCTCCAGCTCTGTTCCGGTGGTGACCACGAGGAGGTTCTCGGTGGAGAGAGCAGGTTGGGTCCGGTTCTAGGTGTGCCTTGGTGGCAACTGTGAGCAGATGCTCGGAGGAGAGCGGGTGAGCTCCAGCTCTGCTCCGGTGGCCACCACGAGGAGGTTCTCGGTGGAGAGAGCAGGCTAGGTCCAGATCTAGGTGTGCCTTGGTGGCAACCGTGAGCAGATGCTCGGAGGAGAGCGGGCGAGCTCCAGCTCTGTTCCGGTGGTGACCACGAGGAGGTTCTCGGTGGAGAGAGCAGGTTGGGTCCAGATCTAGGTGTGCCTTGGTGGCAACCATGAGCAGATGCTTGGAGGAGAGCGGGCAAGCTCCGGCTCTGCTCCGGTGGCCACCGCGAGGAGGTTCTCGGTGGAGGTGGATGCTGGGAGGTTGGGGAAGCCCCAGCCGAGGAGCTCCCCGGCCGCTGACCCCGTCCTCCGCCACCAGCTGGGGCCGATGGCGGGAGATCCTCTCCCACGGGCGGTTCAAGCGACGTCTCTCGGAGCGAGACGTGGAGACCATCTGCCGGGCCATCCTGGTCTACTGTCTCCTCCACTACCGAGGCGACGAGAACATCAAAGGCTTCATCTGGGACCTCATCAGCCCCACCGAAAACGGCAAGGCCAAGGAGCTCCAAAACCACTCGGGTGAGGGTCTACGGGAGCTTAGGGACAACCGGGGACCTCTTGAGGGTCCCGCCTTGACGTCTTTCTCCTTCCTCCACCCTTTTTCTCCAGGTCTTTCCATCCCGGTTCCTCGAGGTCGTAAGGGGAAGAAGGTCAAGTCCCAAAGCACCTTCGACGTCCACAAAGCCGAGTGGATCCGCAAGTACAACCCCGACACCCTCTTCCAAGACGAGAGCTACAAGAAGCACCTCAAGCACCAGTGCAACAAGTGGGTTGAGGTCTCCTTGGAGGTCCCCTCGTCCGTCCGTCCCCCTGCCCCCTCCAAAGCCCTCCCCCACGGCTTGTTTTTGGTTGACCGCCCCATCCCACCGCCTCCCAGGGTTCTGCTGAGGGTGCGGATGCTCTACTACCTGCGGCAGGAGGTGATCGGGGACCAGGCGGAGAAGGTGCTGGCGGGGGCGGTGGCCAGGTGAGTCCACGGGACCTTCCTTGAGGTGCTCCAGACCCTTTCTGGGGTGGTTT